GGGGTACCGGGGATCAAATTTGGGTCCTTGCACTTGCGAGGCAGGAGGCTGAATCACTGAGCTAAATCCCCAGCAAAAACATAATACTTTTGTGCTGCAAATTATTCCACTAAAAAGTTAAAAGACCACCAGAATGAGAAAAGATACTTTCAAAATAAGGGATTTTGTGCAGAACATACAAAGAATTCTAATACAATAATAGACAACCTTATTTTAACAATGAGTAAAACATTTCTCCAAATGGCCAATAATCTCATGAAAAAAAGTGCTTTACATCATTAACCATTACAGAAACTACAAGAAGTCAAAATTTCACACCTATCAGGATGGTCAATAAAAAGTACACAAATAACAAGTCTGAATGAGGATACAGAGAAATCGAAACCCTCCTATGCTGCTGTAAGAATGTAAAATAGTGCAAATGTTTTTGAAAACAGCTTGACAATTTCTCAAAATGTTACACATAAGGCTAGGCATAGAGGCACATGCCTGTAATCCCAGCCCTCAGGAGGCTGAGGCGGGAGGATCACTGTGAGTTTGAGATCAGCCTGGACTACACAGTGAGTTCCAGGTTAGTATCAACTACATAGTGAGACCCTGTCTCAAAATAGAAACAAAACAAAAAGGTACACATAATTATCATATGACTTAGTCATTCCACTACTAAGTTTATAACCAAGAAAGATGTGAAATCCACACAAAAACTTGTACATAAACATTTATAACAGCATTATTATTATTCATAATGGCAAAAAAGTGAAAAAAACCTAAATGTCAACCAAATGATGGATAACTAAAATGTAGTGTATCTTTATCTTGGCCTATGGTCAGTCAAAAGGAAATACTGAGGCCTTCCATAAAGCTTGAGAACATCATGCTAAATGTAAGAACTTCCAAAATAATTGTACAATGTTTCTAAGAATATGAAATGTCAAAAATAAGCCAATGTATACAGGAAGAATATAAATGAGTAGTTGCCAAGGCAGAAGGGATGGGAGAGAAATGGGAAATGATTGCTGCTGAGTTCAGGATTTCTTTCGGGAGCGATAAAAAGTCTTCTAAAATTAGTTTGTAGCATTGTTTCCATGGCTCTCTGAAAAATCACCTCTTCTTAAATGGGTGAATTTTATAGTATGTAGACTGCATCTTGTTATGGTTTACATATAAAATGTCCCAGAAAGGCACGTGTGTTCTGAGGGTGCGCTTGCAGAAAGTGACTGCATATAGGCGGTGCTGTACTCCTCAGTGGATTAATAAATTGAAGAGCTCAGAGCTGAAAAATGCTGTTAGGAGGTGGGGTCTGGTGGCAAAAGGCAAGCTGCTGGGAGCATAATCTGGAGGCATGTACCTCCCTCCCTGGTTCCTCTTTTCTTTCTGCTTCCAGATCCGCAAGATGAGCACAGCTTTTCTCTTGTCTGAGCCTCAGACCTTTCCACTTCTTCCATGCCCTTCCTCCTCTGATGTCAGACATATAGACCGAATCTTAAAAAAATAAAACAAAAAGGGAGCCAAAATAAACATGTCCTCCTTTAATCTGAGGGTGTCAGGTATTGTGTTGTAACGACAGGAAAGTAACTTACTGTATATCTCAACAAAACTTTAAAAAAAAATTATCTGGAGATGGACAATGGTGATGGTTGCATCACCATTGTACTTAATGCCACTGAACTTACAAACTCAAAATGGTTGTGATCAAAAATTTAGGTTATATTTGTTAAAGCATGATAAAGACAACTGACTATTCAGGACTACTGCATAGAGCCACTGCAATACGGCCTTGCAGTAGGGGCTAGACTGCTTATAAGACATGCAATATCCAAATTTTGTTTATACAAAGGCACGTTTGCCAGCAGGCTAGGAGTCTGGCTTAAGTCCGGCCATGCAAAGATTTTTTTTTTTTTTTTTGAGACAGGATCTCACTATGTAGTTGAGACTGACCTGGAACTCACTATGTAGCCCAGGCTGGTATCGAACTCACAGTGATCCTCCTGCCTCAGCCTCCCCAGCGCAGGATTACAGGCGTGTGCCACCACGCGCGGCTTTGTTAGCAAATAATCTTCGTTACATATTTTATCACAATAAAGATGTAAACAAAAATAAAAACTTAAAAGTGGAGCGCTCCTGCTGAGCGGCTGTCTGAAAGCATAGTCACGCAGGGGTCCGCGGGCTCTGCCTGGTCCCGGACCGGACGCACGAAGGTCTCCGTCGTACGCTGTCCGGTCTACACGACGCTACCCGGGGTGGGGGTGGGGAGTCGGCCAAGTCGCGGCGACTCAGCGCGCAGTACCGAGGAGTGACACAAGGGAAGGGACGGGAGGAAACAGAGACTAGAACGCAGGATCACAAATCCAGACGGAACACTACGGTATTCACGGAATCCTGCAGGTGGTGGAGCAGCCATGGCCGACACGCACAAAACGTCAGCGCGCACACACATGCGCAGAGCGCGCTTGTTGGCGTCCGCGCGCCTATTGGCGCCCTCGCACACGTCGGCGCGCGCGCCCGGAAGTTCCGCGGAGAAAGAGGCACCGGTGTTGAGGAGAGGTTCGGGCGTGAAGGGGACTGGGCGACACCGGACGAGGTAGGGACCGGGTGAGCAGGGGCCCCGAGAACGCGGGATGAGGCTCTGGGGACCTGAGCGGGGACAGCCCCGGGGCGCTTGGTAGCAGCCTCAGAGTCCTTTCCCGCGCTCGCAGGCAACTCGCGCGCGGTACTCTGCCGCGGAGCCGCCCGGCCCCAGGATGTCGTACATGCTCCCGCACCTCCACAACGGCTGGCAGGTGGATCAGGCCATCCTCTCGGAGGAAGACCGAGTTGTGGTCATTCGGTTCGGACACGACTGGGACCCTACCTGCATGAAGATGGACGAGGTTCTGTACAGCATAGCTGAAAAGGTAACGTCCACTGTCTGCCTGACCATTGGGTTGTGCAGGAATTTGCTTGTGTCAGCGGCCGGCGCAGGTTGTTGAACTTGAGACTAAAACTTGTGTCCTATATTAGTTATTACTAATGGGCCAGTTCTAACGTGCAGACCGATTCAGCCACAGAGGAAAACTCAGGAATCTTAAACAGGAGTCTTGTATTGAACAAAGCGAAGATGTGCGCCCTGGAGTTGTGCGGGATAACTGTGGTCTGTTCCGAGAAGTGTCCATAGTTTCTCGATTTTTAGGAGATTCACGCTTTCCCCCTTCCCATGTTACTATTGTTAGTGTATTTTTAAAAAGTTTTACTGTATAGTGCAGTGAACCACATTTGCCAGTTTTGTTGCAAGTAGTTTAGCATCCATTAAAAGGATTTTTTTTTTGGTATCTTGTTTATTGTGTTTAAAAATCAGAGCTGAAGCCAGGCGTGGTGGTGCACACCTGCAGTCCCAGCACTTGAGAGGCACAGGCAGGAGGATTCCTGCAAGTTGGAGGTCAAGCCTGGGCTACGTAGTGAGACCCTGACTCAGTACATGCATACGTACATACATACTTAGCTTTTGCATTAGTACCGCGGTAAACCTTGTGTTTTCTTTGGTGTTTCTTTATTCTTCTGTGTCCTTTGTGAGTCATTTGATTTGTAGTTTGGGAAGACTGAAGCACAGTGTTAGGAGAAAATAGAATTATATTTGGTTAGAACTAGGTTTTCTAATTTTTCATATTAATTCACCGGGTGGTCTGTGGCACTTGTATGCTAACAATAAAAGTGCAGTTGTAGGGCACTGGTGCCTGACCAGGGTTTTTTTCCTTATGCCTTATGACAGACTGGATACAGAGGCAAACTTTTAAGCCCAAGTTCTTGGGAGGCTTGGCCAGGAGGATCACAAATTCAAAACTAAGGGCCGGGGATTTGGCTCAGTGTTTCCGCCGCCTGCCTCGCAAGCACAAGGACCCGAGCTCAATCCCCAGTACCAAAAAAACAACCGAACAAAAAAGTTCAAGACCAAGACCAAGCTGGGAGTGGTGGTGTTCCAGCACTCTGAGAGACTGGAGCAAGAGCATCACCTGGGTAATACAGCAACTTAGACTCTGCCTGAAATTTTAAAATACATGTATAAAGAGTTGATGTAGCTCAGTGCAAAGGTCCTGGGTTCAATCCAGTCCCCAGTACAAGAAAAAGAAAAAGAAAAAAGAAAGTCCAAGACCAGCCTTGAAATTTAGCAAGACCCTGTCTCAAAATAAAGAGGTGGAGTAAAATAAAGAGCAATGGTGGAGCACATTTAGCTTCAATATGTAGTAGCACTCCCCCAAAAAATCCTTATATCAGTTTTAGGTTAAGTTGTATTTGGGTTTTTGCAATTGTAGCAATAGGTAAAAAATAGATTGTAAAGGGTTAATAAAATATTTAACAGTATTCCATAAATAATTTTAAGAGTTATTCATTGAAACATGGAATAAATAAGAAAAGCACTGAATCTATTTTTTTCTCTCACAGTTGCTAATGTAAGCTGGGTTAATATAATTCCTTGGAGTGAATAGTAACAGACAAAAGGATTGTTTTAATGTGTAGCATGGAACACTGTCTGACTTGCTTTTAGGTTATTTATTTTTTTATTTTTTGTAGTACCAGAGATCGAACATGGCTCCTTGTGCTTGTGAGGCAGGCGGCAGAACCACTGAGCTAAGTCCCTGGCCCAATTTTTGTTAGCCTAGTTAGAGGCAGCAAGTTTGGGAATAGAATGCTCCTGAAATGCATCTCTGAGATTCAGATTCTGTCAGTTTAGGTGAGAGGCCCAAAAATAGTTTTTGAAGAAGCTTCCCAGGGAATTCTGGTGTGACTTGATCCCAGACCTCAATTTTGGGAACACCTCAGTGGAGATCTGGTTCAAAAAAAGTGCTTTGATTATCAACCATTTCCCAGACTTTTCCTCTTAGACTCCATGACAGTGGGGACTTGAGGTACCAGGGAAATTCAACAGTTCTCTCACATGCTGAGGCTGTTGTCAGCTAGGGGCCAGAGATAATGACATGGCAGTACCAAGGGAATCATTTTTGCATTGTGAAAGCCATAGGGGACAAGGACAGATGCTGCTGAAATTCAGTGAATAATCACTAAAAGCACGTCACTGTATTGACTGTGAAATACTTTGGGCTGTGATTCTGGAATCTTTCAATCTTACACTGGTCAGTGAAGCATCAGATGGTGTTCAGAGGCTGCTGCTGTTCTTGCTGTGAGGATGGCTTGGAGAGGACGGCTTGTGAGGATGGGCCTTTGGCTTTTCATAGCTAAGTGAGTTCAGCTAGAAGCTTTTAGCTAATAAGCAACTTTCACATGTGTTCATTTAAGTACATAGATTCCTGATTCCATTGTATCAGTTACAGAGTGACTCATTTACTACTAGTGGACGCATACTTTATTTGGTGTTGAACCTGTTGATAAGGATAGTTGAACTGGGCTCAATTTTAGTATTTTCTCTGGTATTTTATATAACTTTCTTTTATTTGAAAATTTGTGGGGTTTTTTTTTGTTTGGTAATGATAATAGAGACTTTAAACCAGAGCCTTTACACTAAGCTACATCCTGGTTTTTGTTTTTTTTTGTTTTTTGTTTTTTTAATTGAGTTTATTGGTACAATCTAGGTATACAATACAGTTACATTCATCATTGGGATTCTGTACCTTTACATAATAGGTCTTGATTCTCATTTTTTCCCCTTGTCCCTGCCCTCCCTTCATCCCCCTCCCCTCCCCATTTACAAACACTTTATTTCCATTTTTTCAGTTTCTCATATTTTTTTCCTCTCCCTTTTACCTTTCCCCCACCCTTCCCACTTTCCCTTTCATCTTTAGCCCTTTACTTCCTATTTCACATTATTAATTATCTCATTAGGATCCTGTGTACTGTTATAGTTTTCGCACCAAAGAAACTTCGGTATTTCAGTTAAAGAAATCTCTGTATGAACATTAAAAATAGGGAACCCTAAAATAAAACTAAAAAGAAAAGTAAAAGAGAAAAGGCAATGATGTAACATTAAAATAATCCTTAATTCTGGAGATGAAAATGGTCCCCGAACATATTTAAATTGCTTCTTGCTCTTATAGTCTTATTCTTTTTTTCCTATTATTTAGAGAATACTTTATTAGTTTCTGTATTCAAACCCACATATGACTTGCTTTTTAATTTTGTCGCTGGGTCTTACTGAGTTGCCCAGGCTGGCTCAAACTTGGAATCTTCCTGCCTCAGCCTATCAAAATTCTAGGATTTCAGGTGTGTGCCACTATGCCCAGCATGATTACCTTTTTTAAAAAATTATTGATTAATTAGTTTGTTTTGTACCAGGGTTTGAACTTAGGTTCTTGTGCTTCTGAGGCAGGCGCAGAATCACTGAGCTAAATCCCCAGTCCTTTGATTACCTTTTTAATAAACTTTTAATGCTGTTATAGTTATTAAAATGCAAATTAAGTATATTAAAAGACCATTAGTATCTTACTTTCTTTTTAATATAATAAATCCATAAATCTGAAAGCCCTTTGGGGGAAGTTCAGCAGGAGTTTTTGAAATTTAAGGTTTTAGTACAAACAGTGTAACTGTCTAAAAATCTCCCTCTTCAGCAGTGACGGGTCATGGGGGATCTTCCTTGTCTTGTTACAAGCCCTGTTTGGATATCTCAGCTATTTTAAAATGAGTAAAAGTTCCACATGTTCATGCTGGACTTCATTATATTGTTTCTCTTAGAATGTGTTATATCAAATTGGTGCTTCTGCAGTGCCCAGTACCACCTCAATGCTGGTAGTTTTGAGCTGAATCCCCCCCCCCATCACTGGGGATTGAACTCAGGACCTTCATTTGGCTTGCGAGGCAGATGTGGTGCCACAGAGCTAAATCTCCGGCCCTTGAGCTGAATACTTAATAAAGAAAGTCTAAAAACTCACAGATAATACTTGAAGGTATGTAAAGGTTTTCAATATGTGAAGAATTGAGTAAGTATGGGACAACTTATTTGATAGTTACAATTTTAAAAAATTAAGCTTTTCTGGATATGGTGGTGGCGTGCCTATAATCCCAGCACTTAGGAGTCTGAGGCAAGAAGATGCTGCTAGTGGGAGCCAGGCTAGAACTATGTAGTGAGTTCAAGGCCAGCCTAAACTATGTAGTGAGACTTTGTCTTAAAACAACAACAACAAAAAATTAAGTTTTCTGTATAGTTGTTGATTTTATGCAGGTTTTTGTTTTGTTTTGTTTTAAGCTGGTACCAGGGGTTGAACTCAGGACTTTTGAGTTTGCAAGGCAGGTGTGGTGCCACTGAACTAAATCCCCAGCCAGATTTTCTGCAGTTTCAAAAGAGACTATTTTATGTACTTCTGAGGTGGTTTTCCATTTTGTTGGAATATGGTTTGTTACAGTACAGCTTTAGAGTTCACGCTTCCCTAAATCCCATGATGAATAAGAGTGAATGGGTGTTTAAAAAAAAAACCCAATACAGACAGAGTTTTGTGGGGTTTTTTTGTTTGTTTGGTTTGTGTTTTGTGGTTTTTTGTTTTGTTGTTGTTTTTTCAGGTAGGGTCTCACTATGTAGTTGAGACTGACCTGGAACTCACTATGTAGTCCAGGCTGGTGGCGAACTCACAGTGATCCTCCTTCCTCAGCCTCCCGAGTGCTGGGATTACAGGCATGTGCCACCATGCCTGGCCAATACAAATAGAGTTTAAAATTTCTTGAATGATAACATTGATGCATAACAGTATGTTCCAATAGAACTGTGTAAAAGGCAGATGTGTTTATAGAGCAGTTAAAAAATATTAGGGACTGTACCTTAAGCATCCCATTAAAGATTCAGAGGAAGTTAAACAATGAAAATCAGTGTTCAGCCAGAAGAGAAATCTCATAAGAACAAACAATGCATATTTTTGCTGTTTCCTGAGAATTTTTGTGTTTCGTTATAAACAGCCTTATAGCTGGCAGAAAGTCATAGGGGAGATACAAGTGTTGATGGGGTTACGGGCTCCAGCTAGATGCTTTCCACATGCCAGCCAAGTGACCTTTACCAGCTGGTCCCTTTGCCTCATCTCCTTTGTGGATAAAATATTAGGGCCTGGTTTGTAGGGTTGTTACAGAAATAACTTAATATAAAAAGATGCTACCTAGGAGACAGGTGATGGACTTCAGCTAACCTTCTAGTTTTTTCTTAAATTTCTTCATGTAGCCCCAAGGCATCAACCTGAAGACAGTGTAGTGATCAGTTGCCAGTATGCAAAGGAACTTTAATTTTTCCTCTACTTATAATTTGCTAGGTTTTTGCTTACATGTGTACTGTATTTGTTGACATACTGAAGATGGGTATATAATTTTAAAGCAACCAAGCTTTAAATAAACTTTTTTCCTTTCTTTTTTTTTTGGTACCGGGGATTGAACTTGGGTCCTTGAACATTTTTTTGCAGGCAGCAACACCACTGAGCTAAATAAATCCTTGGCCCTCCTGAACATTTTTAAATTGGAGAAAAAATAGTGGACACCTAGCTTAATTTTAGTTTTATATAAAAAATACACTGGTGCTTTAGTGAACTGCAAATTCATTAGTGGATTAAAACATTCAGAAATCATACTACCATATCTCTGTTTTAGCCTACATGGCAGGAAGCATGTGCTGAAGTCCACACAGCCCCAGCAGACCGGAGCTCTTCCAGGGAGACATGGAGGGAGCTCAGGAGTTAAAGATCGAGGACGGCAAATGTATTGTGACACTAATATTTTCTCACATAATTACCAGACTGGATATACGACTTGTAGATGGTGACTCTTACTAGAAGTACTGAACCTGCTGCTAGGACCCTGTCCCCAAGTAGTAGGTAGGCTAGGTTAGACCCTCTCTTAAGGCGGGACTATAAAATTGAGATTTTTATACTAATACTAAGATTATATAATAAAGATTATGTTAAATCTATACTCTCCAAAGACACATTTTCAGTGATAGTGATCTGCTTCTTGACTTTGAAATAATACCTTTACTAAGTTTATTCATTCAATAAACACTCCCTAGTACTTTGTGTATATCAGAGTCTATGATTCCCAGGAGGCCTCAGCACAGCTGACAGATATGATTCTTTCACTTGTGGTGTTTCAAACTGATCTGAAGGACATGATACCACTCATACAGATAAGAAAGGAAAAAAATATTGTGGTACCCCATTTAGTTATGGTTTATTTTACTTCTGGGTGGCCTATAGTTTTCTGGGGTTTTTTGGTGCCGGGGACCCAATTTGGGACCTTGCCCTTGCGAGTCTGGCCACAGAACCACTGAGATAAATCCCCGGCCCTATAGTTTTCTTGGTTATTGACAAAAACAGGAAATATCTCACTCAAAAATTAGCATTTACAGTGTGAAAATTATTCACAATTACTGAGTGAAGATATCTGAGTGTCCTCATTTACAAAACAGATGAGGTATTTCCGTTGCTCTTGAGTGAATGTAATAAGCAGTAGGAGCCTTGGATGTTTGCTGCTCAGCTCACCTCCTTCCACCCACAAATACCATTTCTTACTTCACCAAGGAGTGAAGGGAGTTGGAAACTGGAGAGAGTCATCTTTCCTTCCTGCCGCTGCCTGCTCCAATCACTCCTGTCTCAACTTCCAAGTTCATCAGCACCATTTCCCAGCTTTTCATACCAAACCTCTTGGGAGGGTTATACACAGTTCAACCCATAATGCATACAAATTGATATAATCTTTCTAGAGGGCATTAACACATGATTTGTTAAGATCCTTTAACATTTCTCCCGTATGTTGCTGAGATTCTATTTTGTGATTCATATTTAGAAATAATAAAATATGTCCAAAAATTTAAGGGTAAAAGTGCATACAGGAGGGGTGGGGAATTTGTCTCAGTGGTGCTGGGCCTACCTTGTTATTGCAAGGTCCTGAGTTTGATCCACAGTACCAAAAAATGTGTATATAGGTGAATGATATTCATGAAAAATCAGTAAGAAAGTAACAGAAGAATGGTGACATAATGACATATTAAACCAGGATAGGAAATATAATATCATTAATAATTATATGATCATATTTTGTTTAAACAATATAAATAGATTTTTTAATATACCCAGAAAAAGATGGGACAATAAGCAAAAAATGTTAGTAGCAGTTGCCCATGAGTGTGGGACTGAAAGTTATTTTATAGTGGTACCTCATTGAACGTAACCATTGAATTTGATTTGGTTCTCGTCCAACTTGGATTACATGCAGAATTGTGGAAAGAATCAAGTTGGTGAGTCAAGGTGCCACTAAAGTTTTTTTTTTTCTGGTTTTTCTAAACTTTTCTGATGAACTTGTAGTTAAAAATTACAGAAAAATTGTGCAGTATTACTTTGAGTTCAAACTATTAGTACTTGGAAATGTTCAAACTTAAGTAATTAGGGGGAGATGGATGGCTGAATCCTGTAGGCATGTTTTAGTCCAGCTGTTTAATACATGTAATACGGATTTGTACAAGGTTATAAAGATCATTTGTAGAGCAATGCAAATGATACCTCTGTGGCCTTTTTCTTCAGGACTTTTTAAGTTTAGTTAGTTCCTAAGCTATTCTGAGAAATATCAAAATGAGCTACAACTAACCAGTTGGTCAGGGTCCTGGTAGTGGTGCATTATTTTCTTGTATGTTCTATGGGGGAAAATATCAGATAATTGATTTTTTTTTAATTGTCCAGTTTAACTGTTTTATTCTTTAAATTTCCCGTACTTTTAGGTTAAAAATTTTGCAGTTATTTATCTTGTGGATATTACCGAAGTACCCGACTTCAACAAAATGTACGAGTTATATGATCCATGTACTGTCATGTTTTTCTTCAGGTATGCCTTCATTGTTATTTAAATGGAATATTCTTGGCTTAGAAGTTGGAGGTAATTGGGGCAGAGTCTGTTATTTAGGAGGAAATAGTTATGCAGCCTTATCACAAGGCAGTTTGTATCACAAGGCAATCAATATCTTTTAAATTATTTTCAAAATCATAATTCCAGTTATAGTATTTACTGAGTAAACAATTACTTTTTTGAAATAACTGACCCAAAACTTGAGGAAAGTATAATGAAATGGAAGATACTCTTAACTGACATTTAAGATATCCTTAAATACATTCTATTGATGAAAAATGTTTTAAAATAATTTATTAAATATCGGGCCAGGTATTTAGCTCAGTGGCTCTGGCCACCTACCTTGCAAGCGCAAGGACCCAAGTTTGATCCCTGGTACAAAAAAAAGTACTAAAAATGACATTAAGGGCCAGGGATTTAGCTCAGTGGCATAGTGCCTGCCGCACAAGTGCAAGGTCCCGAGTTTGATCCCCGGTACCAAAAAAAATTAAAAAATGACATCAGTAATTTATTGTCCTTTGAGTGTGGTGGCACATACCTATAATCCTAGCATTCCAAGAGGCTGAGGCAGGAGGATCATTGAATTCAAGGCAATCCTGGGGCTGCATTGAGTTCAAGGTTTTGACTACATTGTGAGACCCTGTCTCGAAAAACCAAAAGGAAAAAAACTTGGTGTCCTTTTCTAAGACACCTGAATTGAACTTAGGTACTAGGTTCCTAAGACACCTTAACTAAGGAAAACCTGAATTTAATTACTTTTGTCTATAAATACAATATTTTATGAGCTCAAAATTCTATTGTAAAGATTTAATTTGGAAAGCAGTCACCATTTGATATTATTATCAAAATTTGTTACTGTACTTACTATAGAAGTTGGTAAATAGCAGTATGAGCATTTAGCCTTCCTCCAAAAATAAAGCTTCATAATTGTAAGAAAGGTCTCAGTGGGTTGTATAGGTGTATATTAGTTTTATATTCTGCATGAATTTAGCAGCATACATCAGTGCCTGTTTATGAGCTCAGTTCTCTGGATACATGCTGTCCTTTATAATCAGCTGCATTCTTTGTTCAGGGTCTAACAAACCAAAATTGTGGAGTGAATGCTTATCTCGAGGGCCTGGAGAAGAGTTCACTTTGGCCCGTTCAAGTTATTGGCAGAATCCAGGTCCTTCTGGTTATGTAACTGAGGTCTGTTGTTTCCTTGCTGCTGTCGTCTTGGGGCCACTGTGCTTTTAGAGTTTCCTTCATCTTCACATTCAGCATCAGTTGAATTGTTGAGTCTTTTTCATACAAGTATCTCTGTCTTCCAGTTCTACCTCTGCTTTTAGAAGGTTAAAATGATTTGATTAGACTCACCCAAATGATCCAAGAGAATCTTATTTTAAAATCCACTTACTTTAAGCCTGAATCCTATCTAAAATTGCCTTTGCAATGCGATGTTGCAGAATCACAGACATGAAACCTTATCATATTCATAGAATTTTTGGGAGCATTTTAGGATTTTGCCTGCTGAAGTCTGCCCTCTGGCTCACCTCACCATGGTTACTGAGGAACCCATCTCAGAATAGAATCAGTTCCAAAGGTCAAAATCTCATTGTCCAGGTCATCTTAACCATATGAGCCCACATTTCCTGAGCACCGTTTCTTTTTCCCGGTGGACCTATGAAGCTCAGAGACAAGTGAGGCCCTCTATCCTCAACACGGCTGGGCCAGGTGTAGTGGCACACACTTATAATTCCAGCACTCTGGATGCTGAGGCAGGAGGATTACCACAAGTTCAAGGTCAGCCTGAGTTACGTAGTGAGACCATCTCAAAAAAGTGAGAAGGGAGCAGGGAAGCTCTCATCCAAGGTTGGGCAGACTCCTTAGTTAGCATTGCCTGAGATTATGCTCATCGCTCCATGTTCTACCCTTGGAGTGGTTCTGCGTAAGTCCTTTTTTCCTGATCAGTGTTTGTGGCTGGAGAGTTTTTCACTCTGCTTCATGAACCTGCACTGGGGCCATCACCTTCTCTGCCTGCTCCTCTTTGTCCCTCACATTTGTAGGACAGGTAAACCCAATGAGGGAGAATGCCTGTAGGCTTCCATATGCTTCCTCTTTGGTTGACAAAGCTCATGAGGAACAGCCTTCATTGCTGGTGACTGAGTGCACTGACCTGTGATCTTTCTTGGTTTTTAGCGGTATGGCCTATATGGCCTCATTCTCGTCATTTTCCTGCGGAGCCATTGCTGCATTTCAGCATCTTGTCATCTGGAGAGGAGTTACTCCTGTTAACAGTTCTTATATCAGTTTATCTCTTTCCTCTCATTTTACTGTAAATAGCAAGAAGAAACCAGACAGCACCTTCAAGACTTTGCTTGGGCCTGGTATGGTGGCACATGCCTATAATCGCAGCACTTGGAAGGCTGAGGCATGAAGATCACTGTGCTACATAGTGACTTCAAGGCCAGTCTGCACTACAAAGCAGGATACTATCTCAAAAAAAAAAAAAAAAAAAAAAAAAAAAAAAAAAGAG